AATGATATGAGAATATTTTCCGTGATTCTTATGTTCTCCCTGGACTAATGTGATCTATCAGGGCCCCCATGTAGTAATTAGTGCCATAGAAATACACAGTAGACACTCAGTGAGATAGGAAGATAGATCATTCCTAGGAATTGTTCCCACAGTAAGTCACTCAATCCCCTTCACACAACCATTCACATCCTCCCTGGTCAAGGGAGAAGTCAGGAAGCAGAGACAGCACCTGAGTCTCATTCAACATTGTCCAATCATGATGAATCAACTCTCTTCTTCTTCAAATGAAAACCTGCAAGAAAGTAAGTTCAAAAAAATATAATACAACTTGAACAATATTAAGTGGATTTTAGAATGTATAAATACCTTTTAAAAGTTTCTTAAACTTGACTAGATGCAAAACACAAATTAAGGTGTTTGTTAAATAGCAGGTTTCACAGTACAACCTCAAGACATAAACTGCCAGTAGACATAAATACTTTATTAAAGCTAAGATTTGTGGTTATCATCAGGTTCTCAACTCTGACACTTCCATACTAAGTGTGAGCTTAGGAACTTAGGAAGATAGAATCCTGAGAGCTCAATCACAGGAAATTTTGAGTTAGCACCATGTGGTAATTGGTTCACCCTGATCCTAACAATGGCACCAAAGCTCAAATTATAGATATCATAATTAAAGAAGTCAGTCACCTACCACAGCCAATTAGGAAACATAATGCAAAGAGAGATCCCATCCATAAAAACAAAATTATAAAATACAACGGAAGAAATTTGACAAGAAGTGGGCAAGAGCTAATATAAGGAAAACGATAAAATGATATATATGTATTTAAGATAAAGACGCGAGAACCGGAGAACTTTATCATGCTCTGCACACAGTAGCTAAGGCATCATCCTTCTCAATCCTACTATGCCCGTTGCTATCTAAAAGATCAGATGCAAAGAAATATCTTTGTCTGAAACAACCAAATGTCTTATTTCCTTGTTTGCTTACTTATGTCTTCTAGGCTAAAATAAGGTTGTGAAAACAAGTGATTTGTTTTCATGTTTACTCCTGTCTGGCACACTCATAAAAAGCTTTAATATGTAAAGAGTTCTTATAACACAATATATAAGATGAATGCTTGTGCAGAAAAATAATTAAAAGCATCAAGACTCATGAATAATAAATAAAATTTCTAATAAATGAAAAAAGTTAAACTTCAATAAAAACTCAAAATATAAATTGAAAATACATGGAATAGCATCTTGGGCTCCAGTTTTTGTAAAATATTGGTAATATGTATCAAAAGAATTTTAATTTTGTATTCTCTTTGAGCCAGTAATTCTACTTCTTAGGAAGGAATAGGAGAGTCACAAAAAAAAAAAAAAAAGAAAGAAAGAAAAAGAAAAAAAAGTATGTTTAAGGATCCTCAATACAGAGTTCTTTCTGAGAGTAAAATGGAAAAACCACCTAAATAACCACAAATGGGCTGCTGGGTAAATAAGTCATGCTACAGCCATACAAAGTAATAATATGAAGCTATTAAACACTGTTTTCAAAGAATATGAAAAGTCTTAGAAATTTCTGTCATCAGAAAAATTGATGACAAAAAAAAATCCCCCAGACAGAATGCAATATTGCCTACATAGTATTATCTTAATTTGGAAGTATGTATCTGTGTAAAAAAAATATAAAAAAATTGGGGGCACAAAGACAAATTAACAATGATTTTCCTAGGGTGTTGGAAATTTTGTTTCTCTTCATATGCTTTTCTTTATTTTTCATAACATCTACGGTAAAAATTACGTTAATTTTATAATTTTAAAAGTCAATTAAAGTTGTTATTTTTAATTGCCAATTGGCTTATTTAAAAATATAACCCAGAACTTCAGCTGTTCAGATTACAGAGGACATATTATAAAAAGGAATGTTGTCTGATATGTGTAGTCTAATTGTTTCGTTAGAGAAAATTCACTCTCATATTCCTACCTCATTTTAGATTGAACCATGATTTTTATATTGTCTTCTTTTTTTCTTCCTTTTTTGGGGGGCATATTATGGTAGTCCATTTAATTCTTCCATATGTTAAAATGCAAGCATTTTATTAGCATGCTTTGTTACTATGGGCCCAAATTCTTGCTGTAGAAAGAAATAGTAAAGTATGATCCATGAACATGGATGGTAACTGAATGCTCAGTTAGTCACATTAGAGTTACATTTCCTCAGCATAGAACCCAGATATCATAGTTGCTTTAGATCTTCTGGATGTCAAAATATATCTCCTCTCAGCTTCTCGATGATAACAAAAGGTAATCCTTGAGCATTTAGGCTCAGAAGAATTTATCCCGCGTGTCATACACCTTTTTTTTATCATTGATACTGGATGAACCTAGGTGAACATAGATACTGTTTTAAATGTGGACTCAATGAGGTAAGTGACACATCAACAGAAAATTTACTCATCCCTTCTGTTTTAACACCTCACAGGCACTTTCATCCACCAAGTTACAGACTTCCTTCCAAACGTCATTGTCCATGTCCATTCTCATTTCTGAATTCAGTATAAAGGACAAAGTTCTCACCACATTCACCTCACTCCACATAGCCACACTTGCATCACCATGATCTTCTCGAATCCATCTGTGGCCACTGCTGAGATAAACCAAGATTTTTAGACATAAAATAGCCCTGTCTAGTAGCATATCCAGATTAAACCCACTTCTAATCACATGGGGCTTAAGCTGTTCACTGAGTCTCAGATGACATATGTGATATCATCCTCTGGTTTGGAAACCACAATTCTGATATAATCTGGACTGTGCTATGCAACTTTAAACATAATGAATTCGAAGGCCATCATTTTTCCCTAGACCATACTGAGGAAACTCTCTCTCCCCTCCTGCCAGAATCCTGGTATTACCACCACAACCTTAAAATTGGCTTCAACAGAGTCATCTTTTCAGTCACGATTTCAGGTGTCTAAAGAAATAAGCTCCTATTCTGCAGAGTCATATATTTTTTTCCTTTCAGTTTATCAAAATAATAGCAAAGACAGGTTCATTAGCAAAACTTTTCTCCAGAATACTGATGGCCCAAGCTATACCAAGTCAGCTGGTGGGGAAACAAGTCATCCCACGTGGAAAGTGTCATAAACTGGTTCTTCTAGGTAGGGAAGCATAAGGCAAGGATTAAGGTGCTAACACATTTTCAGAGGTGCCAGCTCTGTGGGGAAGGTAACAGGAAAAGTGAAGCGAAGCAAAGGAAGGAGAAAGGAAGTGCACCATGATGTTGTTACTACACTGGTTTCTGCTTAACAATGAACCATAGACAAGTTGACTTGTCTTTGTGTTACTTGGCACTCAAAATTTGTCTGTAGGGTTTGCAAGAAGAAAGCAAGCCTCTGAGGAGTCAATGAAGAAGAGAAAGAAAAGGAAAGGAATTTATTTGCCCGACACCTTCCAATCTCCTTTTCCCTTTTGTCACAGCCACCTCCTCAGGTGTCAGTCTGCATTGTACAACATTTTGATGGCCACCGAGGAAGCCGTGTGGTGAGGATTTTCATCTAAGTCAGAAAGCAGAGGAGAAAACAACACAGGGAGAATACGGATAAAGAAAAGGAAGGAACATGTAGGAATCTGAAAAGTGATTGTGAGATTTGTGTCTCCAAATGAAGACAATGTCATCTATACAGTTTTCTCACATGCACAAACTATAAAATTTCATGTTTAAGTATTTGCATTCCAAAACTGAATTATACTTTGTGTTAAGCATATTAGAAATACAGGAATTTAAGATGTATAAGAAATGGAATAGGAATTACATATCTTAATGAGGTATGAATTAATATCTTAATAAAAATCCATATATAAAAATACAAATTATATCAGTAAAAACTTTTCTTTTTTGGATAGAAAAATTACAAAAGTGTTCAAAAATACTTTTGAAGAAACGACAGCAAATCCATAATTTTTCTATGAAATCTTGTATCTAAAATTATATTGTTCATGTCAAAATATAGTTTTAAAGTAAAATTTTAAATTTATAGAATAAAACATGTTGAATTCGGAATTTCTGATGTTCTCTGTTATGCTGCCATTATTAATATGATAAGTAATAGGAAAAAAATGTTGCTTATTGTATCAGTAAAATAAATCACTTTATATTTTGTGTCTTCAGTTATAATATATGCAATACAATGTTAATTTAATAGAACTTGGAAAATTTAAAAAGGTATAAATAGAGCAATACATCACCAACCCATACTCCAACCGATTACAACCCTTCTTAATATTTTGTTTCAAGCTTTTTATTTAGACATACATATTTTACATAATCATAAATATTTAAAATGATATTAAAATCAATGTATAATTTTGAATCTTTTCCACTTAACACTATATGCTAAGCATTTGCCCATGTTAATCTCTGAAAAGAACAATTTAAATGGTTATGTAATCTCTCTCCATTATACTGTATTCCATAATGTATTGAACCATTCTCTTGTTAGATACAAATTGTTTCTGTGTTTTTATTATTACAAGTAATATTATGATGCACACTATTGTCTGAATTTTGATTATTTTTAGAGGTCAATTCATAGGAATATAAAAAGCCAAAGAATATTAATTTCTGAGAGAATTATTAATGTATATTGCCATGTCTTTTCCCAGAAATAGTATTTATATTTACATTCCTATCAGAGCACTGTATGGAAATGCCTCAGTGCAAAGGCAGATCCCACAAATTTTCATGTTACACTTCCATAATAAAAGTCCAGTTAATGGGGACCCCAGTTAAGCGTCTCTCTGTTAGATTCACTCCAGCAGCAACCTGCCCGCGGTAGAGGCGTTTTTTTTTTTTTCCCTGCTCAGATTAGGCCCAGGCCCACCTCGCCAGCCGCAAGACAGTCTCGGAGGTCCTATCCATTTACTTTGGGTCCCTGACGGCGAGCAGTGGCGGCAAGCACCAAGGTTTGGCTTCAGCATCGACTGCTGATGCCACTACTTGTTCAAGCACCATGCTGTTTACTTCAATGTCAAACGCTTCTACTTCTGCTGCTACTACTGGGCTCTTTTGGTGCTCCAGCAACTTCGACTGGAACATTTGGTGGCATAACTTTGGGATTTGGATTAAAATTCCCTGGAGCAGATAGAGCAGCTCATACTGCTTCTACTACAGCATCAACGACGACCACCACCACTGTCACCACCACCACCACTACTACCACAACCACCAGTAGCTTTACCTTGAACCTAAGGTCACTGACATCATCTGGGATTAATAACATTGTTCCAGTTGGTATTAATTCCCTACCATTTACGTCGACTGTTAATGCAATTGTAACTCCCATGATGACATATGGTCAGCTGGAGGGTCTGATAAACAAATGGGGCCTTGATTTAGAGGCTCAAGAGAAGTACTTTCTTCACCAGGCCACTCCGGTCAATGCTTGGGACCGTACACTGACTGAGAATGGTGAGAAGATTACTACTTTACATGGAGAAGTGGAAAAAGTGAAACTGGATCAGCAGAGGCTGGAACAAGAATTGGATTTTATCCTGTCACAGCAGAAGGAACTGGAAGATCTCTTGACCCCTTTAGAGGAGTTTGTGAAGGACCAGAGTGGGTCTGCTTATCTGCAGCATGCAGATGAGGAGCATGGAAAGACTTACAAATTAGCAGAAAATATAGATGCTCAGCTGAAACGAATGGCCCAAGATCTCAAGGACATTATCGAGCACCTGAATACATTTGGAAGTCCTGCTGACACTATTGACCCGGTTCAGCAGATCTGCAAGATCCGGAATGCTCATATAGACTCTGTACAGTGGATTCATTGGAATTCAGGCATGCTACAAAGGAAAGTAGAAGAGGTAACACGGATTTTTGAGGATCATCATCGTGCAGAGCAAGAACACAATATCAGAATTGCTTTTGATTGAATGACCGTATCTTCAGCATGTTGTTTTGGGATTACACATTATCTACAAATTGTGATGATGTGAAATAGAGTAGTATTCACAATTAACTACTTAATCTTTGGTTGCAATGAAGTTTGCATGTGGTTGTTTTTTTTTTCCATTTAAATACTGTGCTGTTGAGAATTAAACTGTAGTTTGGCTTTTAGTATTAGCAAATCATAACTGTATTAGCCCTCTTGGCTCTAGGCAGCAACCTGTTAGATATTGACTCCATGTGTGTAATTCGTATCTTAAATTCTCCTAGATTCCATATTCTACCAGCAGCACACATTGTCTTTCTTCCTTTAACTGGATCATCGAGAAATGTTTGCCAAGAAATAGATGCCAGCCAGCCTTTACTGGATGCCTATTAACTTTCAACATATAGTGCTAGATACTGTAGTCTTTTTCCTCAAAGGAACTGACTGTCTAGTTTGAGATATAATTAATGCCGGTCTATATGGAAACAGTATAGATAATACAAAGAAGTGTGTTATTAATTACAGAAAGTGTGCTATAGAAATTCAGAGAAGAGGAAACATTAGAGTGGATTTAGGTCTTGAATTAGGTTATTTTTAAAAGGGTAAGGTTCAGACAATTCATTTATTTTTGATGTACAGATAACTTGGTATTTTATTTGGTTTCAGCATATGACTTATAGTTGCTGGCTTTTGTGTATTTGTTTGTTTTTCAAGAAAAAGCCTTGTTCTTAGCTTAGGAACAGTCTGATCTCTTGTGTTGCATGCTTTACCTAAGTCATAAATAAAGGTGATATTCTAAAAAAAAAAAAAAAAAGTCCAGTTAATGAAGTACCACCTAACTCTAAATTTTGATGCAAATTTAAGTTTCTCCACAACCCACTGAAATCCTGGAATAGGAAGGAGGAATGAACTGAAAGATTTCTGATTTTCCCTCTCACAGGGAGTTTTGGGGCTTTCTAGAAGCCTCTTTCGGTTAGCTGCCATAAAAACCCCCCTCCCTTCAGCACCACTGTCAGCGGTAGTTTGGCCTCTGCGGTAACCCTGTGCCCTGGAAATGGTTCTGTGAAATTGTAGTCTCTTGTGAGAAGACTAAGGCAAGGCTCCCTTCCTCAGGTTCCCACTGGCCCTTAGCACCACACACAGTTGCAGGTTACTCTCTGCTGGGCCCTCTGTCCATCCCTATGCTGCTTGCAGAATTCTCCCTACAGAGGGCAGTGGCCCCTTCCTATGACCTTCAGACTCCAGGCAACTGAAAAACTCTTCAAACACCTCTCTTGAAGGCAAACTTCCCTGGAAAGGAGGTAAGGGAAAATACCATAAAGCGGCGGTGATGGTGGGCAGGGGGATTGTAGGAGTAAATAGCCCTTTCTTTTTTTTCTCTTCATATCCTAGAGATGTGCAACAGGCTAAAGCTTGCAGAATCAGTTTCATAATCTTTTGGCATATGCTGCAGAAACAGTATAGCAACTTTCCGCCATGGGGTTGAAGGGTTCTGGTGCATATGAAATTGAGACTTCTGCTTAGATCCCAAGACAAGAGAAAGCATAACATTTAACATTGTCCTAGAAACATGTACAGTATGTATTTACATATACATGATACCCCTGTACCTGTACATTTACACATGAATGTATTCAGAGTTTGGTGTATCTATATCTCATAATACAGAGACAGATACATTTGGAAAAGGACAAAGAAAAGTTATCTAAACCCATACGTTCTTTAAAGCCTAGGATACAACTTGGGATGGAATTAAATCTCAAATTTTAACTTTTACATGTATTAATTATAAGGTTTTGAAAGTTTATTCCCAGTATCTCTAACAGTGGCTACAAGTCTCACTCATCTTCTAGGACCCATCTGAAGACGCTAACATCCCCATGAATCTGTTCCTCTGCCCTCAGTTCTGATGATATGCAAGACCACCTTCTAAGGATACTTCTTTAGATACTGATTCAAGTTATGAAACTGGTATGAGAAATCTTGAGGAAGCATCATCTACTAAAATTTCTCTCAGGCTTTGGATAAATCCAGTTTAAATACCTAATTTTTTAAAGTCAAGAGAAGTATTTCCATGAGGGTCTAGTGCCTATAAGAAAATAACAGTGTAGGGACATTCTGAAGGTTTGTATCTGACCTTTCTTTGGTTTTAATCACTGAAGTTCTCGACAGCTTAATAAGTTGAAGGTGCTGGGTCACCATCTAACTTAATAAGGCCCACCACTGAGACTTGGTCACCTCTGATTGCCCCCATAAGTCTTAACACATCTGGTACACTGTCCTTGGGTGAGAAATGTTTTCCATAACTTTCTTCTTGTTCACTACCCTGCATATAAATTGTTTTTATTAACCTGAGAATGATACAGCACTGTATATTTGTGTGAGCTTTTGCCATTTTCAGCTTTATCCTACAGAAAGAGAGTTGATTGTTTTCTCCAAAATAGAATTAAACACTGTTTATCACCAATGTCTTCTTTTTCATTTTTCTACCTTTATTTAATATGGGTCAAACTAACCTTCAGTTTGACATGAGATTAAAGAACTAAGCATTGTAACTAGACTCTTCCAAGCAATTTACAATATGCCATAGCTGTGGGAAGAAAGAGCCAGATAACCATATACTAGTAAAGATTTTTTTCATAGGACAACATATCCAGATGTAAATATCTAGGAGTAATCAATTGTATATGGAAATATATATAGTTGGATGATTGGCACATTCCTTTGTCCAGAATGACAAATAAATTGATAGACAATCTATTCTGTTTTATTTCAGTATATTTTACAAATCTAATGAAAGTCATATTTCTGCTTTCTTTACAATTTCCCATGTGGATAATAGTAAGATGAAAGTTGATCCAGATGAATAAAACTACAGTTTTATAGGATGTCTGTATCCTCCACCTTAACCTTAGTCCTGGAGAATGCTTCTCAGGGCCATTATGGTGAAGTGAAGAAAATTGAGTGTCTTTATAAAGAAATTGGACCGAAGACAACCTGACTATATTTTTATTAAGAGAATTCTGCAGGTAGAAGTAGTTTATGCTGGAATCCATCCTATCTCCATGAAAACCAAAATATTTGCATACTGAAGTCTTCTGCCAACCCATCATTGACACTTACATTTTTAAAGCTTTTTATTTATTTCTTTGAGAGAGAGAGAGAGCACAGAGGGAGGGTAGAGGGAGAAACAGAGTTCCTGCTGAGCAGAGAGCCCAATGTGGGGCTCGATCCTAGGACCCTGGGATCATGACCTGAGCCGAAGGCAGATGCTTAACTGACTGAGCCACCCAGGTGCCCCAACATTTACCTTTTGAATGAAAATAGTGTTTGAGGGAGCCTGAGTGGCTCAGTTGGTTAAGCGACTGCCTTGTGCTCGGGTCATGATCCTGGGGTCTTGGGATCCAGTCCCACATCGGGCTCCCCCTGCTCTGGGGGGAGCCTGCTTCTCCCTCTGCCTCTGCCTGCCACTCCCCCCTGCTTGTGCTCGCTCTCTCTCTGTCAAATAAATAAATAAAATCTTAAAAAAAAATAGTGTTTGAAATCTTCTCTGATTTAATCCTGCCTAACCTGAATTCATATGCAAATACCATATTATTCACATAGTATTTCACCAAAAATATGAAAAGAAGAGGAAGTCGCTAGATAGTGTCACTTGATAGCCAGCAAGTCATTCTATTACACACAAGGTAAAGACCAGTCTGGTCATAATTGAGTCCATTCCATGACAGAATAGTTAAGAATTTCTTCTGAATCAAGCTAATAGCAGTTTTGAAAAGACTAAAAGCAATGTTCTAGTTGTGGTATTTTTAATTTGCATACTGAAATGTTGAATTAAAAGCTAAGTTTTCTCCTAACCATCCTTTTATACATCACTAATGTAAATCTCTACATGAGACAATAGTTTTGTCATGTCACTTCAACATTAGTGAGATGAAACTATTACTCCTTTGTGCTCTTTCTCTCTTCAATTACATACTATAATTCCCTCAGTCACTGAAAAGCTGTGGGGGGAGGGGTTGGTTGTGCTTGTTTACTTTGTATTAATTTCCTTTAACTTCACATCATACAATTCATTTGTAAAGGAAATTTCATGTGACTCCAATCTAAGATGCTTAAATTAAGATTTTAAACAGCTTTATCTGGTCATGTGAATTTATCTAGCGGACACATGGATGTGCAGAGATCAACAAAATGTCCCTGCCGTTCCTCACGTTCTCCGTCGTTCAGGCCGGCGGAACGCCTCACTATAACGTCCCCGCTAAACTTACTAAACTGCAACTTCTCGCTGTTCTTCCCTGTGCCCATAAGGTCGTCTTCTCCATCACAGTTCTGCAGGCTGATCACTTAGCTAGCTATCTAATCACTTGCACATCTAATCATTTTATTCTATGTTTTATATAGCACTTCCCACACCTGCACACCTTGTGACAAACTTTGAGGATGCCTCACTGGGATATTCACAGAATCCTCGGGTTCTAATTTGCAATCATACTTGTATAATGATCAAGCCTGAAAGAGGCTCAAAGACCTTCTATTCCAGCTCTCACATTTGCAGCTAAGGAAAAATGCTCTAGGTGGCAAAGACAGGATTAAAACACCAACCACTAGATTTCAAGTTCACAGCTCTTACTGCAACAGCTTGCACTTACCACCCATAAGAACTGTGCAAATTAGTCCTCTGCAAATTAGCAGTCTTAAAAATGTCAGTACTCTCTACACTCCTATATTAGGGTTCTCCAGAGAAACAAAATCGATAGGATATATACAGATAGAAGTAACAGGAGATTTATTATATGAATTAGCTCACATGATTACGGAGGCCAAGAAGTCCCGGGAGCTGCTGTCCACAAGCTGGAGAACCAGGAAATCCAGTGGAATAATTCAGTTCCAGGCAGAAGGCCTGAGAACCAGGAGAGCTGATGATGTAACTCCCACTCTGAAGGGAGTACGGTGCTATCAGTCCCAGAGTCAGAAAGCCCAAGTCTCAAAAGTTCCAATGTCCAAGGGCAGAAGATGAACATTCCAGAGATTATCTGTCCTTCCTCTGCCTTTTTTATTCTTTTGG